TTGTTTTATTTTTTGTTTAAAGATTGGATCTGTTGTTCTTATTGTTACATATTTGAGCCTATGGATTTTGGTTTGTATGAGAGGTGAAGGGGAAGAAGATGAGGGTATTTTTTTATTTTTTATTTTGTTCTTATGAGGTTTTTTTTTATAATAATTAGTTGATTTCATTTCACTGATTTAATTAGAATTTAATGGTTTTACTTAATTTAAAATAAGTGCCACTTTAGCAAATTTGTTAAGATTATAGACGGAAGTGGATAGAATGAGTAGTTTGACTTATTTTCTATAAATTAAAGAGTATTTTGAACCATTTTAAAAAAAATTAAAAAATATTTTAAAATATAATACATATTTTAAGAGGTATTTATAAAAATAATCTTAAATAAGAATACATTTATGTGGGCTTAGGCATTTAATGAGTATCAACTCTCACGAGACTTGCCACTTTTCCACTTTTGAATTATGAAACGCCTAACTTGTGAAACAGCTAGAGTAGTGGTAAAGAAGTGGAAGGGCTTTCCCTAGGCTGGAGGTTTAATCCTTAATAGTTGCAATTTTTCCTATTACTGAAGAGGCCGGTTTTGCTTAGAAATTGATTTTTTTTTTTTTCGGTTTTTTGTGGTGGGTGTTGGTTTTTCGATTTTTTTTTTTAACACCTCTAACCATTATCAGTTTGATACATAAGATTTACACATGTCATAGTTTTAAAAATGATAAATCTTTATATTTTATTTATGAATCTGGTATTTTAAATTTTCAATTTAATAACATTCGTTAATTATTTGACCTCAACTTTTCAGAGTGTAATTTGACAAAATTAAAAATTCGGGACAACTGGTTGACCAAAACAAGAACCTAAATTTCAGTACATTATGCAAAAAACGAATTGTTTGAGGTATGAAAAATTATAGGGATATTAGGAATAATATATATATATATATTAAAAAAGTATTAGAAATATTTTGAGTAAGGTAATAGCACCTTAGTCTTAATCTTTTGCAGTTTTTTCACATTGATCACCTAACTTTTCTTCTTACCAATTAAATCCTCAACGTCTTGTTTTGCACACGCTTGTTAATTTCATTCAATTTGACCTCTAAGAGTGCAAATTGAACTCGACAACGTTGGTAAAATTTAACAACTCAAATCTTGGATTTTCAACCATGGATCATCAAAATTGGCTTGGGGGTTTTATTAACCACTTCCTTCTGATCATTTTGACACCAAAATCATGATGATCCAACGGTTGGATCATCGGAACCAACCTTCACCACAACCATAGCGGCGACTTTGCTCGAAATCCAGCAAAACGACGACAGCAACGGTGGTTCCTGGTCAAGATCTGCTAGCCGTGCTCCTTTGAGTCTAATGGTGCCGGCGGCACCCCACCGCCGACCGGAGAAGCAAAAACGAAAGCGGCGACCACAGAGGTTCCGACCACTACGGACGGTGGTGCTCTGGTCAGAATTGAGCCATGTTACTTGATTGGGTTGCGTTCGTCTTGTCGCTCTGAGTCCATAGGAACTATAATTACCTCAATCGGAGGTAGAATGACGAATATATTGCGATCGAAGTTTTGAGTATTTTTAAAACTTCGGCCAGCAAGTGCGGCTTCATTCAAAGGAGTTATAGGCTATATAATATGTCCTTGGACTCAACTCATTGAGAGCTTTACAATGGTGAGGGATGTGTTGAAACCCAACGCCAGAATCTCATCAGAGGTGACCGGCAATTCGTGAAAGAGAAGAGGAAAGAGAGAGAAAATATGAGAGAGGGAGAGAGATAGAGTGTGAACGTGAGGGAAATGAGAGAGACGAAATGTGCAACCAAACACAGTAATTCATTATTCTTGGGAATTTGAGACAAAATTTCTATATGAAACTAAATATAGTAATGTATTATTTCTGAGAATCATATTACCCCATCACTTTTCTAAGAATATGATTATTACTGATTATTGCGTACCAAACGCTCCTATATATTTTACAGAATATCAAATGAAGTGAGGGCACAATTTATATATTTTTATTATTAAGTTAGGGTACTGGGTATCACTAGCGGAGCTGTGTTAGACTCAGTGGGGCCAGCTGAGTGGGGATCCAAGGACTTCTTTTACAATTTTGCCCCTATAATTCAATTTGTAGCATTTTTCTCCTTATTTGCCCCCACTCAAATTTTGTTATTGTCATTTCTCCATAGTTTTTAAAAGAAAATTCTAATTATACTTTGAGTTTTGATTTTTAAATATATTCTTATTTCAAACTTAAGTCTAAAATAAACCAAAAATCAACAATACTACAATATAAATTTACAAGTTTTAGACTTTAAACTTTAAATAATAAATTAACTCTATTAATTTTTAAAAATTAACTTTATTAGGAGCTTAATTCATTTAGAATGAAAAGAATAAGATGGATAAATGAAGGTAAAAAAATTATTACATTGTAATCGTAGTTCAAAATTTTGGTTTAATCACTCCCCCATAAAAAAAGTTTATGGCTCTGTCACTGCTGGGTATGGTTATAATTTTTTTTTTTCATATAAAATGAGGGCATAGTTAAAATTTTATAAATTTCGAAGGATAAAAATTGAATCTCTGCCACTTAAGAACCATTTCTCTGCTATTCAAAACACTGTAACTTTATTCCTACAACATGTACCATGGCCATGCAAACCAAACTTCCAAGTTCCAACAGAAAACAAACGACACCCCCAAAGCAAAAAGTACAAGGATTTATTAACATCATAGTTACAGAAAAAAAAAAAAAAAAAAAAAAACCAAAAAGCTCCTTCCATATGCCTATCAAGTGGTTTGCACAACTTGCAATGAGCTCCAACATGAGAAGCAGGGTATGAAATATGCTTGAATAAAATAATGTTGAATTAGTCCTAAGAAAGAATGGCGTTGAGATAAAAACTTCTTTATAATCAAAAGTCATGAATAGACCTTTAAACAATTTGGTATTGAGATTACTGGTTTTCTGGCTTTTATATGCATATTGGCCCGTTCTTTCACAATTAGAATCACAATTTAAACTTTTTGCTACTCTATTTATCTCTCTTATAAATTTTAGTTTAACTTTTTTGTTACGGTGTTTTTTTTCACATAAATATACATTTCAACTTAAACCCGAAAAACAAGAGACTTATGATTCCATCTCTTCTAACCATGTACCAAAAGAACTTTCTCAAAATCAAAATTTTCTCAGCCTACCCTTTAAATCTTTTTTCTTTTTTTTCCTTCTTTTTTCTCATCAAGATATGAATATTTGTGGATGCTAAAGGATTTATTGTCATGTGATGTTGGAGTGAGCCCCAACCATACAAGTGAACTATGTGGCCATTAATTCTAGGACTCTCCTGACCAAAAACCAAAACTGAAATTTTCCCTTTTTTGGCTGAATTTGAGCAAGATTTTTATGGAACTTTCCACAAACTTTCATTCCTAACATTAATCCTTCATTTTAATAAAAAATCTTGAAAGTCTTTCTCAACTAAAGGAAAATTGTAAGTTCGAAAATCTCTCTTGAGGTACTTGAAGTAATTTTTCCACAAGTACTCAGCCCAAATCTCATACTCCATGTTTTTTTAAGTATTTTTTTAACCTATCATGCACTATTCTTAGCGTAGAGTCGTAGACATTTATAAATCATGCCATTAAAATCTACTTAAACAACTAACATGGTGGAATTGACCTCAATATACCAATTTAAGTCAGAAAGTAAAATAATCTGGCCACTGTAATTTATTTATTTATTATTATTTTTTTAATAAAGTTCTCGAGAAACTTATTATTTATTTAGTTTGTAGATTCGAGTTTTTAATTCGAGTTGAGATGTGATTTTATATGAGAGTTTTTTACTGTAGTAAAAAAGTTAGATGTGACTGTTTCTGAGAGTTGAGGGCGAAGATGGACAAACACCAAATTCTGGATGAATCTTTGAATTTGCTCTCTCTCTCTCTTCAGTTTTTAATAATAATAAGAGATCCTTTTTCATTATTCATAATTTTTGTTTGTTTTCGTTAGATAAGAAAGGAGAGAGCACAAGTGCATTGCTCGTTTGTGTCCATAAGTCAGCCACGTGGCAAGATCTCTTTGGAGTGAATGTATATTCCATAACTGAATAATACCGACCCTACTACAACACTTTTCTGGTTTGCTTATCCACAAACAATTTTGATTATTGAAAATTTCCCATTTTGTTTGATTAATTTTGCTCACAAAAAATTCCAAAAAAAAAGGACCCAAAATTCCAAAAGTGTCCTTATGCATTCTCCACTAGAAAAACTAATTCAAACTCACAAACTTATTGCCATTCTTTTCTTTTTTTCCTAAAACTCTCCAACTTCATCAGTAATTAGATATATCAATATGCAAGGATACATGTGGACCCGTTTAGTTCGCTGATTCGAGTTTTTAATTCGAATTAAAATATAATTTTATGTGAGTTTTTTACTATAACAAAAAAAATTAAATACACGAATTATAAACTTAAATCGGTGAAATGAACTGGCCTTATTATAAATACTTGAAACTTCAGTTTTTGGGCGTTACACAAGTAGATTAGACTGACCATTGAGTAATTTTTGTCATCTTACGAAAAAATATAAATATTTCTCATTAAAATGTGTGCCAATTATTTGTCCTACTGCCTGTCAGCTAATTCACTTCCCAGTTAGCGTCAAATTCCCAGAAACCATCCAACGGTTACGTGACATGTCAAAATTCAGACTCCCCGTGTCGCTTTCTGATTTCGTGATTCTTGCACTTGATGCCAATTAAGCAGGTCTAAGAAAGCAAAAGATTCATAAACCAAGGGCAATATGGTGATTTCAAGCCATTCAAAGTTCAGTTAGAGCCATGTCTTAGCGCTATAACTGTAATTTCGTCCACTCACGTCCCTCTTCAATGCCTTTTCATCTCAAATTATTTTTTCCCAAAGAATTTATATTATAATTATTTTTTAAATTATTCCTCTTCAGTTTTTGTGAAGCAGCTACATAGTCAAGAACCCAGCTCAAGGTTGAGCCAATTCTGCAATCTAACGTTCTCTTTGAAACCTTTTTCAAGCTTAGGTACGCTTAATTCTCTATATATACATATATATATATATACATATATATATGTTATACGTATATTTTCTCAAATAGCACAAAGCTGTTTGATCCAAGATTTGTGTGTTCATCATATCAGAAGAGTTTTCAGTGGAAGACAAAACAACATAAGACTATTATTAATTGAGAGATTCAATCATTCGTTGGTTTTGTGATCCTTAAGCTTGTCAAAAGTGTAGTTTTCCTGTTATATTGATTAAGAGTTTTGGTTTTGTGTATGTATCAGTTGGGAGATTATAAATGTCATCAGCAGTGAAAGGCATGCTAATAAGGACTCGTGTGTGTAACCAAAAAGTAGTAACATTAAAAGGGAAGAATAAGTACGTGGATCAAAAGTTCTTCTTTGATCTCTCCAGAGACAACCGTTTGCTGTCCCAAGGCGTCGGCTGGTGTCGTCGAGTTGTAGCGCAAAGCCGCTATCAGCAGCGGCGATCCACCGTCAAAGGGATCACAAGTCCAAAGCCAAAGAAAGGAGGTGACCATGAGCAGAGAGCACAAGCCATTCTTTCCCCTGTTTCTGATCCAAGTGCACCTACTACAAACAAGGTATTCTAACTATTTAAGGCCCAAAGTAGTAGTTTGGAGACTTAAAAAAATGTCATTTTAAATGGTCAACCAAGAATGTGATTTGTAGCACTATGTTTACTTTTAGTGATCTTTGTACTTTTTTCTTCATGGAAAATGTAAAAGAAATGAGTAAAAGGGTATTTAAATTTTGTACCTTTAGCTTTCTGCACAAAATGTTCACAAATTTGTCCTTGGTATGTACCTACTCACAAATTATTTTGGCGTTAATCTTTTTAGAGCAAAATCTAGAGGCGATTGATTAAATCCCATCTAATAATTGAAAGGCTCAAAGTAGTTCGGAGACTAATAAAACGTTATTATGAATCCATGTTTTTATGTCAAGCAAGAATGTAATTTGTAGCACTATGTTCCTTTTTTTTTCACAGTTTGTTCTTTTTAAGTGGACTTTTTAGTTCTATATGGAAAATGTTAAAGAAATGAATAAAAGGGTCTCTGAATTTTGTATCTTCAGCTTTCTGTGCCAAATGCACAACTAACAAAGTTTTTCTTAGTTTCTACTTCCCTTTGTTTTACGCTTTGAAAATTGTACTCTTTTGTTTTATACAGCGAGTGTTCACTTTTGGAAAGGGGAGGAGTGAAGGCAACAAGGGAATGAAGTCACTTGTAAGCTTTGTTTTTCTTTCTACATAATTGCAAACCATGAATTTCACTTTCTTTTTTGGCATAGAGTTTAGTTTCTTTCTTTTCTTTTTGCCAACAGTTAGGAGGGAAGGGTGCAAACCTGGCGGAAATGGCGAGCATCGGGTTATCTGTGCCTCCTGGTCTCACCATATCAACAGAAGCATGCCAAGAGTACCAGCAGAATGTGATGAAGTTACCAGGAGGTCTATGGGAGGAGATATTGGAAGGGCTGCAAAGTGTGGAGAATGACATGGGAGCTATTCTTGGTGATCCTTCCAAGCCTCTACTGCTCTCGGTTCGCTCCGGTGCCGCGGTGAGCACCATTCTTTCAGTTATTCAGTTCACAGTCTCAGTCCTTTGGACATGTTCGGATAAGGATATTTATCCAAATGATAACATGATTTTCTTTTGTTACTGGTCTAGATTTCGATGCCGGGTATGATGGACACTGTTCTCAACCTTGGACTAAATGATGAAGTGGTAGCTGGTTTGGCTGCAAAGAGTGGAGAGCGCTTTGCTTATGACTCATATAGACGTTTTCTAGATATGTTTGGAGATGTGGTAAGTGAAGCTTGAAGCACAACAAGCTATATTTTGAGCAATAAAGTTATACATTTAAGACTTTTTTGTGGTCGCTGAATTTACTTGAAGCTTAAGTAACTGTTTCTCTTAATTTAAGGTAATGGGCATTCCACACTCATCATTTGAGGAGAAGTTGGAGAATCTGAAGAATGCAAAAGGAGTTAGACTTGACACAGATCTAACAGCTTCTGATCTCAAAGAGCTAGTGGAACAATACAAAAATGTCTACCTTGAAACCAAGGGTGAACAGTTTCCCTCAGGTACCAAGCAAAAGCATTTCACATGAAAATGAGCATATCTCATAAAACATTCACCAAAGTTCCATATCTTTTCTCTCTCTAAGAGATTGTTTGGTAGGAAAGAAAAAAGTGGAAGGAAAGATAGCGGAAGATGATATGAAGGAAGAGGAGGGAATGATCCAAAATCATCAAGAGAACTCGAATTTTGATCCCTCCAATTCGAGGGATCTTTGGGTGGCAATTATCTACTCAGTTAGGCTATGTTATCAAATTACTTTATTAACCCTTATTCTTGAGGAAACCAATCCAACTATAGATAAATTGGTAACCATACAAATAAAATATTTTCTTTCCTTTCCCTTACATCTTTATTCCAAACAAGAGAAGTGATTTTTGTTTTCTTTCCTTCCTTTCATACCAAACAACATAAGTAAAAGACCTATTTTCTCTCCCTCCTACCAAACCAAACAAGGCCTAAGACTTCTTTTTCATCTCTATGTTTTAGATCCAAAACAGCAGTTGCAGTTATCTGTCAAAGCAGTTTTTGATTCCTGGGACAGCCCAAGGGCGATCAAATACCGAAGCATCAATCAGATAACGGGGCTAAAGGGCACTGCAGTGAACATTCAAACAATGGTTTTTGGGAACATGGGAAACACTTCAGGAACTGGTGTCTTGTTCACCAGGAATCCAAGCACTGGTGAGAAGAAACTCTATGGAGAGTTTCTTATCAATGCACAGGTTTGACATACCACTTCCATCATTAGAGATTTTTCTTTAAGGTGAGTTATTTTTGTTAATCTGAAAGACTGGTCTTGATAGGGAGAGGATGTTGTGGCCGGAATCAGGACACCAGAAGACTTAAACACCATGAAAAATTGCATGCCTGAAGCTTACCAGGAGCTTGTAGAGAACTGTGAAATTCTTGAACGACATTACAAAGATATGATGGTAAGACTTTTCATACATTTGATTCTTTTTGTTTTCTTTGAGGATTTAATGGTCTCAATAATGCCATTTTCCCTCAAGTCCAAATAACAAATCAAAACATAGTTTGCCAATCTTGGTATTTTCTGATGAAAACAGGACATAGAGTTCACAGTCCAGGAAAACAGATTATGGATGTTGCAATGCCGTTCCGGAAAGCGAACCGGTAAAGGAGCGGTAAAGATAGCCGTAGACATGGTGAATGAAGGGCTTGTTGATAAACGCTCTGCCATTAAGATGGTGGAGCCACAACATCTTGACCAACTTCTTCACCCTCAGGTACTATAATATGACACTAAGTTTTACTGCCATCAAATGACAGGTCTAATATATGCCTTTTTTTTTACAATCATATTTTCATCTTATGGGCTTATTGATACTATGATGGGGTTAGTTTGAAGATCCAACTGCCTACAAAGACAAGGTGGTTTGCACTGGCTTGCCTGCATCACCGGGAGCCGCGGTTGGGCAGATTGTGTTTAGTGCTGATGATGCTGAAGAATGGCATGCACAAGGAACGCGTGCCATCTTGGTAATGCCCTTTTCATATTTCATATTCTTCTTGCTTTCTTTGCTGAAAACTAATAGGTCTTGTGTCTATGTTTATGCATGATTGTAGGTAAGGACAGAGACCAGCCCAGAAGATGTTGGCGGTATGCATGCGGCTGCAGGGATCTTGACAGCCAGAGGTGGTATGACATCTCATGCGGCTGTTGTAGCCCGTGGATGGGGAAAGTGTTGCGTCTCTGGATGCTCCGATATCCGTGTGAATGATGCAGAGAAGGTAATTTTAAAACTTGTCTCTCGTACTTGTTCGAGTCTAATATATCACTTCGCACAAGCATCAATACGCTTATAAAGTTGAAGCTAGATTTTCTGGAGTTTGACTTCTGCTTTAGCCTTTTGTCATCAATAGAAGTAGTGAAGTAGCATAAAATGGTTTCTTTGTTGTTGATAATACAGGTTCTTGTGATTGGAGAACTGGTGATTAAGGAAGGAGAATGGCTCTCACTCAATGGATCCACTGGTGAAGTGATATTGGGAAAGCAGCCACTTGCTCCACCAGCTATGAGTGGCGATTTGGAGACCTTTATGTCTTGGGCTGATAAAATAAGGCGCCTCAAGGTGCTACATTAATATATACGTAAATTGATTTTCATTTTACCAAGTACTTGTTGAAACTTTTCTCATCTGATAAATTATTGGATTGACACTTTCATAGGTTATGGCAAATGCTGACACCCCAGAAGATGCGCTAACAGCAAGAAACAATGGCGCTCAAGGGATTGGACTTTGCAGGACAGAGCACATGGTAACACACACACACACTCACACACACAAAAGTTTTGAAGTGTGTTTTCCACACACAATTGGGACAATAAAAGTAATGTGTATGGTTTAGTTTTGTAATATGGCTTTTTTTTTTTTGGATGCTTTCAGTTCTTTGCTTCAGATGAGAGAATAAAGGCAGTGAGAAAGATGATAATGGCAGTTGCAACCGAGCAGAGAAAAGCAGCATTGAACCTGTTGCTACCTTACCAAAGATCAGACTTCGAGGGGATTTTTCGCGCAATGGATGGTACTTTTCACAACTGTTTGACATGAACAAAGTGCATAACACGATATGAAACATCGTTGTTTCATACTTTCAGGTCTTCCTGTAACAATCCGGTTGTTAGACCCTCCACTTCATGAGTTCCTTCCAGAGGGTGACCTTGAACAGATTGTCAATGAACTAAGTGCAGAGACCGGCATGACCGAGGATGAAGTTTTCGCGAGAGTCGAAAAGTTGTCGGAAGTAAACCCCATGCTTGGTTTCCGAGGCTGCAGGTCTTGATTTCCCTATCTTATCATACTCTTGAAATAGTTTCTAATGAAAAACTTAGACACTTAGACCATCTGCACCGCTAAATTTGACCTATTCTACACTTGGTGTTAAATTTGACAAAAAGTATATCATATATCAAATCTGACATTAATTATAACATTGCATTGGAGAATGTATTTATTACCCAAATACTAAAATACTAAATTTTGGCATTGACATGGAAATTCGATATCGCATTTGAGATGCTCTTATGCTTGTCTTGGACTATTCGCAAATCGGGTTTTGTTTGTTTCTCATAAAACAGGCTAGGAATATCATACGAAGAACTCACTGAAATGCAAGCGCGCGCAATCTTTCAAGCCGCTGTCTCAATGAGTAACCAGGGAGTGCAAGTCCTTCCTGAGATAATGGTTCCTCTTGTTGGCACACCTCAGGCATGACTCTTCTTTCTTTTCTTATCTATTTTTATTTGCAAAATTTTGGTTCATGGAAAAATCCTGTGGAACTTCAAAGGAAAAATAGTGGAAAACTTTTATAACATTTTTATGTGGCAGGAACTGGGACATCAAGTGAGTCTAATTAGAAATGTAGCAAAGAAAGTGTTCTCTGAGATGGGCACTTCCTTGAACTACAAGGTCGGGACTATGATCGAGATCCCTCGAGCTGCTCTTGTTGCGGATGAGGTATTTGTATGCTTAGATTGATTAGAATATCATTATATTTTCAAGTAAAATAGCCAACATTCTTAAATTTTTCTTCTAACCAACATCTCTAACTAACACATGTGACCAATATTAATGGCAGATTGCAAAGGAAGCAGAGTTCTTCTCCTTTGGGACCAATGATCTCACACAAATGACCTTTGGCTACAGTAGAGATGATGTTGGAAAGTTCCTTCCCATTTACCTATCCAAAGGGATCCTGCAACATGACCCATTCGAGGTTTGTCTTCATGTTTTGTGCCACTTATACAATGAATGTTCTACGACGGATTGATTGAAGATCATTATCGTTCCTTACTCTAGCGAAATTCGGAAACTCAGCAACCCTCGAACTGGTTTTCTTGCAGGTACTTGATCAAAGAGGTGTAGGGCAGCTCATCAAGATAGCCACGGAAAAGGGTCGGGCTGCCAGACCTAGCTTAAAGGTAAATGAATATGGCAAACTGATTCAACTTTCAAAAGACTCTTAAAGATTAGGGTAGTAATGCTAGGTATACCAAACATTATCCTCTCTTTTTGACGCCAATTCACATAGTGGGTTAACTGTGTATTTTTATTGGTAGGTCTAACTTTTTGATACTGACGTGATAATTTATGTACCATGTCAGTAATGAATGACAATTAACGTGTCATGTCAATTGATAATAAAAACATAAAAATCTTGCATCCTAAACATTATTGGGAGTTTCTCTGATAGTTCGTCTTATTGGTAGTTTCAGATTTCAATTGTTAAATTTAATCAAAATCACATTAGATTATAAAAGTATGCAGCTGATAGTTCAATTTTACGAGGACTACCAGAGAAAGTCCCAACGTTATTATACTCTAAAAAACTGTGGGGACCTGATTTCTAATGAATGGTGGATGATGATGAGTAGGTTGGAATATGTGGAGAACATGGAGGAGAGCCTTCTTCTGTGGCGTTCTTCGCAGAGGCTGGACTAGACTATGTCTCTTGTTCTCCATTCAGGTTGAAAAATTCTATTTCTTATTGTTCAGAAAATTATAGTAAGCCTACTATTCATTTATCAAACAAAAAATAAAAGGTAAGTCTATTATTCTCATGATTGGATCAAATTCCTTATAATTTGCTTGTTTTATGCAGGGTTCCTATTGCTAGGTTGGCTGCAGCTCAAGTTGCTGTTTGAGAAATATTGTCATTATATAATAGATAATTTCATGTTGATGTAAATATATTCAATAATTATACGTGTGATCAGAAAATAAGGAAGCCATCAGTAAAATAAAAGGAAAAAAAAAAAAAGAAAAAAAGAAAGGAAGACCATGAACATTATAAGATTGAACCTAGAAGATGTAAATAGTTCTCTTTTTACATTTACATTATTATAGAAACAAAAAAAGAACTTTGTCCATAGCTTTATTGTTTTCTTACCATCTGTAAATTACTACTTGTACAAGGTTCTATATAATTATACTCGTATTGAGATGTTTTCCCAAAGATTCTGAGATGAACTTCTCTCTCTCTCTCTCTCTATATATATATACATACATACGCGCGCGCGCGTGTGTCTAAAAACTCAGTTGATATAAAAAAGACAGAATTGACATAAAAACGACAAAGTCACTGCTAACAAGTTAACAACAAAAATTTAAAACGACAACATCAGTTAGAGCAAGAAAACTTTAAAGCACGACAACCAGATATAAACGACAACATCTTTCAAAACGACAAAGTCTCCATACGAAAGAATGAATGAAAAAAGAGAAGAAAAGAAAAGAAAAATAGAATGAAAGAAAGAGGGAAAGGAAGACAAAATGAATGCACTAATTGGTGAGTTACACTTGCAAAGAAGCTTGCCAAGGTCTATGTCGTATTTAAAGGAGACTACACTGAACAGGATATTATAGGATGAAGCTGGTTTGAATTCTTTGCGGGAACGAGAACTCTAAAAACGACAACATCACTGAAAAAGGCAACATCTCTGAAAAAGGACAAAGCATTCTAAAAAACTGACAAAATGTATCAGAAAAAATAACTGCCCTTATATGACCCAGTCTCCAAAAACGACGAAAATTTTACAAACGATCCCACTTTCATACGATAATGAATCTAAAAGGAGAACGAATCGTACAAACGACAGTAATATCAAAACAAAAAACAATCTATTTTAACGACAAGAGTTATAAAAGCGACAACAGCAAATAAACGAGACATAACTTATGAGAGCCGTAAAAACGACATTATCACTGTGATACAAAAATAAATTTGAGAAACCACAAGATCTTGTGGGAGCGACTATCCTAAATTAAATGACAACATTCCACAGAAGCAATGAGACTTGAGATATCTTAAGTTTTTAGAGATCTTTAACCGATTTGAGTTTTTAGCTATAGGTTTCTACAGTTAAAATCTTTCAGAAAATATCACATCTAACTTTTTCTGTTACAGTAAAAAATTCTCAAAAAATGTCACATATCAACTCGAATTGAAAACTCAAATCTACGAAATGAATGAGACTAAACGTAAGAACTTCAAGATCTCCAAAAATATTTGAGCGACACCAATCCACAGCTTAATACAGGGGAAAAAAAAAAAAACCCTTAATACGAAAACATTTATTTTGGACAATAAGCATCTCTTATAAACGACAAAAATTAAAAAATTCTGCTCCAAACGACAATTAAACATCAATGACTTTGGGAACGACTGAAAACTAATCAAACGACAATGAAACCTTCAAACTTGAACGAGTATTAGCAACGACAGTTTTCAGAAAAGACACAGATAAAGTAAACCAAAACAGCAACCAGACATAAAACGACGTCGCTTTCCCTGGTTCGTAAATCGTCAAAAGGGCAACTCACTCACTCAATACTTGAGCTTCCTTCCTTGGACGGTGGACTGCAATTATGGGCGGCCACTGGTAATGGCGGAGGAGTTGAGAAGAGAAACTCTAGTCTTCTCCAACCATTGAAACAAAAATGGCGGTGGAGAGCTACGTGGTGGTGCACAACATAGCGAAGAGGCACAACATCGGCACTCTCGCCCGGAGCGCCACCGCCTTCGGCGTTTCGGAGCTCATTCTCGTCGGCCGCCGCGACTTCAACTCCTTTGGCAGCCATGGCTCCACCTCCCACCTCCGCTTCCGCCACTTCCACTCCCTCCTCGACGCCCGCCATTTCCTCCAGGTCTCTTTCTATCTCTCTCTCTCTCCTCTGTTTTTCTTGAGAGAGAATTCGAATTCGTCTTGACTTAGGTGTTATGATTGTGATTTTCAGGAGAGAGATTGCGATATATGTGGCGTGGAGATCACCGACGGCGCTGTGGCTGTGAATCAGCATCCTTTCAAGAGGAGCACCGCCTTTCTTCTCGGAAATGAGGTAAGTTTTCAATTTAGGGTTTATGATTTGATCATTTTTAAAAGAAATCGAACTTTGGTGGAGATTTCATTGAATTTATCAAACTTTTGTTTTAACCAATCTCAGTTGTGGAATTTTTTGCGTTGATGTTTGTTAATCTGTAGAAAGTCTTAACTGTATTCTTTTGGTTGCCCATAAAATTTAAGATAATTTTAGTGTCTATAAGCGGATTGCAACATAATTTAGCTAATTTGAAATAGAAGCCTGCCTAATTGATTGGTTTTGGAGGCATTTTACATTTGTATTACTGGAAGAAATCTTTGTTTTGATTTGAAATTTGTTGCTAATCTTGTAAATATAAGCTAAAATTTGTAGTAAAACTCAATATTGCTCCTTTTTTTTCTTTTTTTTTTAATACAACACGGGATCGAACCTGCAACCCCCCAAACCCCATTCCACCCAAACCCTCACATTGCCACTAGACCAAACGGTCTTAGGCATATTGCAGTTAATGTGAGATATGTGACTTTGTAATGTGTATCCCCCAGTGGTATGCTATGTTTCCCTGGGTTACTACATAAGATGTTAAAAAATCTTAGACTTTACTATTTTGGGTTGCCTCTGAAATTTAGGTTGATTTAGTATTTACTTAGCAAATTTAGGTTGATTTAGTATCTATTTAGCAAGTTCAAGTAAAACTTTCCTGCCTGCTACACATTGGTCTGCTAGAAGAAAATGGTTTTTGATTTGAAATTTTGTTACAAATCTTATACGTATGAGTTGTAGTTTGTAATAATTCTGTGCTTCCTCCTAGGGAACCGGTCTTTCTGCCAAAGAATGTGAGATATGCGACTTCTTTGTGTATATTCCACAATATGGTTGTGGGACTGCCTCATTGAATGTCACGGTGGCTGCTTCTATTGTTCTACATCATTTTGGAGGTAATATTGTTGAAACTCTTCTGAATACTTACCTAAATAAACCATACTTACCATATTTTCTTTAGTTTATGTCCTTGTAATTTTCTTTGTATGTTTTGCTATTCAAGCCAATATAAACCAGTGGCTTCTCATTTTGTCACTTCACTTAACTTAAGGTTCTCCTGCATAAACAGAGAATATATTGCATGCAGTCCTAAACTTTGCTTACTATATTCTAATTTTTTAGTCCGGTGAGCAAACCAAAAAAAAAAAAAAAAAAAAAAGAAAAAGTTTTGGTTTCTATCAAACTTTGAGTTGGAGTAGACAAGGGCACCATGATTCCTATGGTAGTTTCTTACTGAATTTTTACAACGTCTCATGCACGGTTTTCTTCAGTTTGGGCAGGTTTTCCTGAGAGAACCCGCGACGGGAACAAGTTTGTAGTGGCTGAGAAGCCTGAAAAACAAGCGAAACGAAATTACTGCATGGAAACAGCTGATGCTATTATTGAAGAGCGAAGATTAAGAAGAGAAAGTAACGGTTTCTTTGATGAGAGTGAGAATGGCAATTCATCTTCTAATCTTCTTGATACTTTGTTTGATGATGTATAGATGTGAATTCTTTGGCATCGAAGTCATGGAGTAAAGGGAATATCGATCCATGTCTGGTTTACGGGGTTTACAGGGAAAAACTAATCGCAGAAAATCTATAGTTCCAAGCTTGGCAGCTAGTTGGTTCCTCTTTTAACCCAAGGAGGAAGTTGCTTAGGAAGATACAAAGTGGTAGTATGCGTGCCATGCAAGTTAGCAGATTGATGAAATGAAATATTCCTTGTTCTTTTTTTTTTTCTTTTTTCATCAGCAGTAAGAATCAATCTGTATATCATTCTGTCGTTAATAAGGAATGAAACAGTTGATGATGACGAGCGAAATTATTGATTATCAGGGGACGTCTACTTTTGCTTCTTTTAACATGTATAGATGTTAAAAATGATACTTTCTCTACCAAAGACCAAACCCTTTTTGACAAACATCGCAATACAACAAAAGACCTTAAAAGGAAGAGTGAATTAAGAATTAATAAAATAATTAAAAAAAAGAACTAAAAAGAACACCAACTTCCACTAGCATCCGAGGCAATTACCTCTAAAGTCAACTTTCACATGCCCTTTAGCTCCTTGGGACAACCTACAAATCAAGTATTTTCAAGCTTCTTTTTTTTTCCCCCTCTAATTAATAGACTTGATCTTTGTAGTCTAAAGTATACACGGTACACGAGTATGCGATACATAATAATAATATAGTGGAAACCATCATATTCAATTCAACCTTAGTCCTTGCCAACCAATAATAGGAAAAATCAAAGTCAACAAAGATTTTATGGAAAAGTTTAGTGGCTTCTGTTACAGCTAACATTGAAAAGCTACGTTGTAGCTGTACTTGTTTGCAAAGGTCTTTCAAGAGGACTTCACAATCATGATGTTTGAGACACAGAAAAATAGTCTTTGTTAATTTTCCTGTTATCAGTTTCAGCAGTAGGTGCGGTTTTGGTGGTATTGGAAAAGAAGCCAAAAAAAACATTTTGCACCATTTTTCAACTCTTATACCTACTTCACTCCAGAGTAGTTAGGCTCCTTATTTGTCTCTATAACAACAGTTTTCTTTTTTTCCTCTCTCCAATCACATTCTTTTCCCCACCATTTTCGTCTGTCACTCGCAAATTGTCCATTTTTTACTAGCTTTCACTAATTCTCACCATTTTTAGACTTCACACATGGTTTCCTTAACTTTCTTCGAAGTCACATTTATATCTCAAGTTATAGCACAAAGAAAGAGCTCGCTAAAATTTCCATGATGTCAATAAACCTTCAAAAGATTTTTTGCAATAAGCAATCCCGTCCAATGTTAAGCTTGGTCAGGAGAAAGCTCAAGCTCCTTTGCTCGAGGATTCGGCGGCTAATATGGGGGCGGCCGAGGCCTAAAGTTGTGATCAGGAGGCTTGGGAAGTGGAGCTCAGAAGCTCAAGCTAAAAGAAGCAACAATCCTAAAATCGTCAGAAATGATCACTTGGAACTTTCTTTCTCCAAAAGGCCAATCCGCGTAGCCACATTCAACGTTGCCATGTTTTCCCTTGCGCCCGCCATTTTGAAGGGCGGCGACTTCTCCGCCTCAAACAATCATGAAAATGACGAGTACACCTTCAGGTCTCCTGCGAATGACCGTCCCAAGAGTATACTCAAGTCGCCGGTGAGCGCCGCCGCGGCTAGTCCAGAGTGTGTCTCTAAGCTCAGCAGATCAAACTTGAAGGTCTCCATCAACCTCCCTGATAATGAGATTTCATTGGCAAACAATAAACTGCTCACTCTTATGGAAGCTGAGAAGCAAGGCTCGTCAAACATGGCTAGTGGCAAGGCGTATCGGAGCTCGGTTCCGGTGAGGTCGCCTCTTTGCTTTCCTTCGAGCATGACAGGCGGTTGGAATTGGCATGATGATGGACTTAAAAGCAGTAGAAGCATATTGGAAGTTCTGAGAGAAGTTGATGCAGATATATTGGCTTTACAAGATGTTAAGGCTGAGGAAGAGAAAGGAATGAAGCCTCTTTCGGATCTGGCGGGTGCTTTGGGGATGAAATATGTGTTTGCTGAGAGCTGGGCTCCTGAGTATGGGAATGCCATACTATCCAAATGGCCAATTAAAAGATGGAAGGTTCAGAAGATTGCTAATAATGATGATTTCAGGTGCTTTATATATTTATTTTTTTCTTTTCCCACCTCTATTTTTGCTTGATACAAGTCATTTGAGGGCTGAGGCTGAAAATCTTTGGTTCTAAAATCGATTACTTGTCGATGAAGGAACGTTCTGAAGGCGACGATTGACGTGCCGGGGGAGGGAGAAGTAAACTTCTACTGCACACAACTTGATCATCTGGATGAGAGTTGGAGGATGAAGCAAATAGGAGCTTTGTTTCAAGCAAATGACCCTCCACATATCTTGGCAGGAGGTCTAAATTCTCTCAGCGGTTCAGATT